GACTAAGCTACTCTGAGGCTTCCCATTCATTAATTCTGACCTTTATGACCTCTAACAAGTCTCACTTGTCACTGGTGTGTCAAAAGACTGCTTGCTGTTTGGCTAAGATGTCACTTTCAGCTTATGTTGAGAATCTAGAGCGTTGTCAAAGTACTGAGGAATGGGGACAGACTCCTCTGAATCTTTAGAATGTGCGTGATCTATCACTGAGCCCTACTGAGTTCTGCTATATATTCTAAATGCTGGCTAAGAGTCTATAAAGGAAAGTTTCTGGTATTCTTTTCCACAATGAAAAAGCTAGAATAAGCTACATCTATTTTTGAGAGTTTCTAACTTTTCTAAACATTTACCATGTAAAACTGCTATTACTTACCAAATGCTTAGGGAATTGCAAAACACATTTGATAACTATCAGTAGCTTTGGCTTCCTTACATCCCAACAATTAATAAAACCCCATAGTGTATTATCACAGTGTCACTAATACTGTAAGGTTCTTATAACAGCAACAATCAGGTAAGGGCATTGCCCTTCACTCTGGAAACATCATACTGTCCTGCTAACAAATCAATCTCCTACTCAAGTATTATTCTAATTTTTATTCATTAGTTTTGTGAGAGGAACTCAACTCATTGCCATTAAGTCAGAATTGATACAAAGCTGACTCTCCAGTGGGTTTTCAGAGGCAGGCAATGACATAGAAGGATATTACCTATTTTTTCCACTTTCTTCCGTGGAAGACTTGAATCACCTCCCTTTGGGTTGGCAGCCCAACCCCTTATCCACTAGGGCATCAGAACTACCTTTGAAAGTGGAAGTAAATAAATATTCATCTCATTTGAATATCATCTGGCCTGCATTGTTGTTGTTTTGTCAAGTCTGAGACAACTCATAACTGACCCTTCAATAGGTTTTCAGAGACTTTAGATTTCAAAGGAGGAGATTGTCCATCTTTTCACCCATGAAGCAGTTGATAGATTCAAAAAGTGTGCCTTAAGGTTGGCAACACCATTTCTTGCCTCTAAGGCACCAGAGCTCCCTACATTAAAAAAAGGACCCATAGTATTTCTGATAAATAAGCTACTTCTGATTAAAATATCAGATGAAGAAGTTACTCTGATATTTCTGGTGAAATATCATACTATGAAGTAGCTACAACACAAAAGATTATATAATAGGTAAAATTTAGATCACTACTACTACAGACACTTTGGAAAGATAATAGTGTCTTCAGCAAACTAAATTTGTCATCCAATTTTCTGATTTCTTTTGCTTGTTAAGAAAATGGACTAAACTCCATTTTAAACAAGGGATTTAGAATTCCTGTTTGAGAATGAGGAAAGAGCCAAAACTTTGGGCAAAATCTCAAAGGATAGGAAAAAAGTAAATCTTTCTCAGAAAATTAGACTAGGTACTTGAAAGACCATCAGAAAATCTTTTTATCTTTTGCTCTTATGTGAAGTTTTCAGAACAATTCGATTTTGTTTTTCTTTCTGTTGATGTATAACATCGAGTCAGAACAGACTCATAGCTGGCTCTACAATGGGGTTTCAGAGGCTGTTAATCATGTTGAAAGAAGATTGCTCATCTTTCTACCACAGAACAGCTGGTGGATTCAAACTGCATACCTTTATACTGGCAGCAGAATTTCTTACCACTGAGCCACCAGACTTGCCTAGAATTTTATTCTTAGAGCTTCAAAATTTATTCTTAGAGCTTCAAATTTTCTTAGTGCATCTCAAATAACATATCACTTGCATTTCCAGCTTCTTTCCTATGTATTTAAAATGGTACAATAATGTATTGTCTTGGGGCTTCATTCTACAAGAGAAACCTGCTTAAGGAAGTTGTAAAATTCCATGACTGGGTGCATTCCTCATATTCAGTTTTCTCTGCCTTTAGCTATGGGAATCTTTAGAGTTCTTGACTCAAAGATTCTTGACTCTTACTATGGAAACTTTTTTGAACATAGGTTTTATGAATTTGTAAACATTCCTGGAAAGATCTCAATGGAATATATAATTCCTATAAGAACAAAATGAGATAGGTAGACTGATTGATTGATTGATTGTGAAAATAATTTAGAGTTCTTAATACATTGTAGAGGGGAATCACAACCAAACCCCAAAACAGCCCTTTTTAATCTGTCGTGTTGGTCATGTATCTCAGTTCTAGTTGAAATTGACCTAAATGGGGGCTGTTCAACTTCTGTCCTTTGATAAAGAGTGGCAGAAGTGATAGTCTACCCTATCAGCATCCTGTACTAATATTTGCATATTCATGGAGCACTTTGGTGGCTTTGGTTGCCCTGCCAATCCATATGCAGATCTACCAGCTTCTACCTGGGAGAGGGATGTACAGCTTCTCCCATGTGATTTATAGCTTCTGAAATCCCACTGAAGGGTCAGCTACTAGTCAGTTCTGAATCAACAGCAATAAAGATCATTAAAAATATAGTTTTGATTGAGCCAAGACTTGTACTATTCAAGACAAAAGATATGCTCTTGTCATTTCCTTCTTTATTCTTTCTAAAAAGACACTTAAAATGAATAATAAACACTAGTTCCTAAGAATAAGAACACAGTGGTTGTTTTCTTTCGAAATCAGTACTCATAATGGAAGACACTGGTGACATTGAGCAGAAATCTGTGTAAGCGCAATGTATCTATACATTTCTCACTTTAAATTTATTCATTAGACATCTTATTGGACATGATGTATATGCCAGGTATGGTGTCAGCTTTACCTGAGGAAATGGTGGTGAGCAAGGAAGATGTGGTCTCTGATTTATGAATCTTTTAGGCGAGGATAATTTTAGATATTAAACCAGTTATTAGTTAAAATTGGAACAAGTACTGAAATGAAAAGGATAAGGTGTTACAGGAGACCTTTGCCTTGTCTAGAGGACTGTGATGATCTACCTAGAAACGATGAGCAGTGGGGGGAAGATGGAACAGAAGAAATTAGAATTCCTTTTGTAACCCCCTAAATCTTCCACACACACACACACACACATCAGTGTCATGTGTGTTTTGAATTAAAGATGTGTTTTTCTGGAAAGGCCTAGAGGTATGTGAAGTGGTGAAACTTCCATCTCTCGTGCTTGGGCATGTTGTCAGGCGCGGCTAGTACTTAGAAAAAGCCATCATGCTGGAAAGGGTGGAGGGCCAGAGAAAGAGAGGCAGACCCTCAACAAGATGAATTTACATAATACAAATCCACTCAAGCTTATTAGAGACTTTAAGGGTGATGCAAGATAGACCAAGGTTCCCATTTGCTGTTCATAGGGTTGCTAAGAGTCCTTGTCGACTTGAGGGCATCTAACAAAAGCAACAACATTGTATTTCTTTAACCTAATTTTCTTGTATTATTTGCTAGTCCCTGAGAAGAAATGGACTGTTGTGTATCTTGACTGTAAAATCTTATCTATGTGGTGTTCCAAATAAGTACCTGATATATATCCTCTATATTTGTAGAGTAGCTTTTATTTTCTCCTTTCCTGGTCTTGTCACTTGATCCTCAGAACCACAAACTCCTGTGTGGTTGACAAAATTCCATTGGAATGCAGGCAACAGAAAAGCACATGTTATTCCATTTATAAATCTACATCATTCCAGCTCTGCAATTGAAAAGAATTTTGCTGAGCTTAGAAACAATTAGAAATATTTTCATTTTAGTGAAATGAATTCCTTTTTTAACTGTTTAGTGTAAGGCAATGGACAATTTTAATCTAAATATTTTTTTAAATCCTTTTCATTTGAAATAAATACATGGATGTAACTAATAGAAAACCACCAATTAAAAAAATTCTGCCCAGCAGTATACTTTTATTATCATTTCTGTCAATGAAAACTTATTCCAAGTTTTCCTAAGCAATAAGGATGATGAGAAACTATTACCTCTGAGGCCAGGAACCCTGAAACTTGTCTTTCTCTGATATTTTAAATCTATTTATTGCCTGTTTGGTGAGAACCAACTCATAGTTAACCCTCCACTGAGTTTCCAAGGCTGGTGAATTTGAACCCCCAGACGGTGTCTGTCTTTGGGTTAGCAGGACCACTCCTTTTGGGCTATGCTACCAGAGTTCCCTGGCACCTTCTCTCTCCAAACTAAAAATGTACTACTGTTTGGTTGAGACTGACTCATAGCTGACCTTCCATTGACTCTTTAGAAGCTTTAAATTGGCTCTTCAGAAGCTTTAAATTGCCTAGGAGATCACCTGTCTGTCTGGCTGATGGATTTGAATTGCTTGTCTTTGGGTTGGCAGCACAACTCTTTACCCACTAGGCTGCCAGAGATAATTTATCTGGAAGATATGAAATGAATGACTTAAAAGGCAGGTTGAAATACAAATGCTTGTGAACAGAGATTTTAAGAGTCGGAGCCATGGGGCTGGGCTTTTCTTGATTCAGTAGGGTCCAGCACTATCAACCAATTGCATCAAGAAATGCAGAGACGTTATCCTGAATTGTTTAACTCATCCTCTAAGTACACCACTTAGTATGACATTTATTGGTTCTCCCAAATGTGTTAAAATTAAAGGCGTCGGCCAGGAAATGATTAATAAGAGTAAAGAAGGCAAAATTATCTTCATTTTTCAAATGCCTGCTTCTCTTTCTTGCTCCCTCAGGCTAGGAACATTGTCAGGAAGTGAGGTTAAACTTAATGGTCAAACAATGAAACACCTGCTGTTCAACATCAGCAGCATTCTTCTCTTGTCCCAGAAATAAAGCATTATTACTCCTGTGTCCAGCACAGCAAAGACCTCTCCCTCTCGTTGTCCCATGCCCTATGATTTTTCTATGGCCCTTTGCCACACTACAACACTTTCTCAAGTGTCTTAGACTAAATGGGACATGGGTATCAAAAGAAAAGAAGAGAAAGAAACTTCTTGTCCAAGACCCATACCCCATCCTGACAGTACCTCCATCATGGGCTACAGACTTCAGCTTTGTGAAACTAATGTCTGTTATTCTCCCCACTCTCTCCTTTGTCCCTACAGCGCCATGGCTACTTATTCTGCCACATGTGCCAACAATAGCCCTGCACAGGGTATCAGCATGGCCAACAGCATTGCCAACCTGAGACTGAAGGCCAAGGAATATAGTTTACAGAGGAACCAGGTGCCAACAGTCAACTGAGGAAAAATAAGATAAAATAAAATAAAGCAGGCCTAAGAAGAAATCAAAACCATAAGACACCTATCCTGCTCTGTTATTTCTTCATCTGCTGGGAGGGAAAAATAAAAACAAAAACAAAAACAACCAGAACTAAAATATTGGGACCATGGCAGAGGAAAACAGGAGAGGAGCAAAATGGAAATTAGTTAACAAACGTTCCTCCTCCCTCTGGGACACCATCACCACTTGCTTCTGTGTGTGTTTATTTTGTTTTCCTTCCATTCATGCTTTGCTTAATATACTCTGACCTGCTCCAGTTAGGCCTAGCCCACCTACCCCTCTTGGTTGCTTGAGATTTAAAAAAAAAATCTACAGCAATCAAAGAAGCTATATATATATATATGCAGTAAGTTTCCAGGTTACAAGCATCTGACCTAAGAACAACTTGTACTTACCCTTTAACATTATGCAAATTTGTCCTCACCTTGAAATGAATAAACCAAATCATATTCACAGTAAATTCTTTATCACCATCACCTTCACGTGTGGCACATGTGCTTTTTAAATGACGGAGATGGCTGCGAGCCTTTTCTTGCACTAAAGTAAGGCTAAATAGGAACCATATGCACCTGTTCCAATGTACCTACAAACGTAACTGAAAGACATCCTTAGGAACAGATGTGCTCATAACCCAGGGACGACTATATTCCGAATCAGTGCCGGCAGCTTCCTTATTGACCCATTTGAACCTCAATGGCCTTCCTCCCAGTGTCTGCTTACTTTATCTGGGGAGCTTCTGAAAACCCAAAGTCTGAAAAATCTATGCCAGACATCATCCCTTTTCTCATGGTCTCCATTTTTTTCCCCCATGGTCTCCATTTTTGTTGGTCGTAGCAAGGTTTTTGTTTTAGCTACTAGAGGGCAAAAGTGTTCAGGATCTGGTCACTGTGCTGTCTGATCCATTGTGCTTGGCTATGTCTAGCTAATTCTAAACTCTAAGCTATAGCTCTAGTCTCTAGAAACAAAAATATAGATTTAGACCCTATACTGTAGGTCAAAATAGTACCATTACCACCATCCCTCACCCTCATTGAATCAGCCACCGTAAGTAAAAAATACTCGTTGCTTTTGAATTATCTACTGCCATAGATTATTTGATAGAACAAATAATTTTCTGAGGCAGGAAGATAAGTTTCTTTAGAAAAATAAAGACCACATTGTGAAAGGCACCACCACCATGTCTTTGGTGCCTTGGGTAAAAAATAGTCAGATGCACACTTATAAATACTGTATATATTTATATATATTTTATATATATAAAATATTCATAATTTACAGTTTCTCAAACACTAAAAAAAATCTGTCACTATCAACACTGTCCTCGTTTCCACAGTGACAAGACATATCATTTTTTTTCTTGCTAGACACAAAATTCTCATTAAGGAATAAGCCTTATAGATCAACTCCTTAGAAAACAGGCCTGGACTTAAATTAATTAGGAACTGTTGGGGGCTGTAGAAAAATTTCTTTAATTTGGAGCCCTAGCTCCAACAGAATGATACCATAACCAACCTGATCATTTATGAATATTGCACTTAGACAAGGAAAAGTTGCCTTTTCTCCACTCAACAGGAAATTGAAAGGCATACGGTTAAGCGGAAAATGTAAAGGTTTATTTAAAAGTCAATCGTGGATTATTTCTATTTTGTAATATTTTGAAATAAAGCTTAGTGTCTAGGGCTGGGAGCCAGGACTGATCTTTCTTTGTTTCTTTCTCTTTGTCCGCAGCCAGGCTTTTGAAACTTGCCAGGTGGACTTGACCAAACCACATTACCATGCCGTGCCTCAGTTTGCCTGTCTGTAAAATGGGTTTAACACTACTTACCTACCTCACAGGGGTGTTGTGAGGCTCTATTCATTTGCTCCTTCCATCTTTCCTGTATGTCCAGCACTTTGTAGCCATGAGAGGGAAAGGATTATAAAAGTCTACAATTTTAACAATGATACGGTACCTGGTAGCCTTGTGTTCTAGAAAGAAAATGCTACCTTGCTGTAAATACTTATAACTCTGTATTTGGAAGTGAGAAATAGATTTATATTTGTAGATCTCTCAAACATCACATCATTTGACCAAAGAGTAATTTAAGCCACATGCAACAAACATATTTTTTTACTTATATTCTCATCTGACCAGCTTGGTGCTAATGATTTTAATTAGCAGCGATTAAAAAGGGTGATTCTGGCCAACTATGCTAACTTTGTGTTGTGAGTGACAGGCAAGGAATTTGAGTTTCAAGATGTACTTCCAGTGCAAATTTTTATTTCCCTTGGCATATTAGATTGAACATTTTCTTTTTCAATTTAACAGCCACCAATCTGAAAATGTATTCCAAATGTTACAGAAGTCCTTCTTAGAACAAGAAGGAAGGCCATCTCCTGCGTTTTGCTTTCATCAACTGATTCCTCCTACTTTTAAGTCACTTTGAAAACCCTTCTCACTGAAATAGTTCACGCAGGCTGGCTGAACAACACTTACTACCTGCTTCCTAAGGAACTCCTTCATGCCTCTTCTTATCCTATAGCTGCTGAGAATTACAACATTCCCAACAAACAATGTATTTTAAGACAGAAACAGTTGTTGCTTTGTTAAGTGAGTGCAATCCAAGAAACTGGCGAATTTGTGACTTGGGGAGAATTTGGAGGTTGGAGAGGATTTGATTTCCAGTGAGGGAATGGAAATCAGACACACGGTCCCAAGAAGGGAAATCGGAAGACAGGAGGGAGAAGAAAAGAATGAGTGATGTAAAAAACCAATGTCACTGAAAATTTTTATCCTGACAGTCTTAGTGAAGAACAAAAAAATATACTTGAATCCATAATCTGAATGCCAGGTGAAACTGGCCAATGCCTGGTCAAGTGGTGTCTGAGAGCATCACACACAGAGTAACCAATACTGGTCAGCCATACAAGCGTGCATTGCTGGAGTCCCTAGGCCCCAATCATGTGTGATTGAAGCACTTGATCAACAAGATACAGGTGGTACCAGCCCTCAATTCTGTTCATTTGTTGTTGGGCTTTTTAATGAAACAAGTTTCGATACATAGTTAGAGAAGTAGTCATCTGGGTCCTAAGATGTCAGCAGAGGCCCAGTGGACACAAAGTTTAAGGTATATCCCTGTTCCTCACCATCTTGGACTCAGATATTGATAAATACATGCAAGCCATCTCTGTATTCTTAATCTATTGCTAAACAAAATGCCGATTTGAAAGGTACTTGGCAGGTTCGATCCAACCAGAAAAGATGAGGGGAATAAAAAAGGGAATGACATTTTAGGATCTAAAGATCTCCTAAGAAATGTAATATGTAAATTATATCTTGCTTTATGATGTAAAATATACATTGCGCTAGAATAGAAATTATTCCTTTTCAATAAAAAGAAGGATACTACAATGACTGTTTATGTGTTGTGTCTGTTGTTTCTTTTCTTTTTGAACTTCAAAAACAAATGAGCTAGGATCTGAGATTACACTTATGAAAGTATGAAAAGATGAGTATTAGTTTTAAAGCAAAAATCTGACCTTTTCAGTAACAGAGGACTGTAATTTATTGTTCTTCAGATCAAAGATAATTGTAGGAGGAAGCGAGGAGTTCAGCAAATTTTCCACCATCTTTAACATTCACAATTCCAAGTGCCATAAAACAAAAATAATTCATACAATGCACCGTCTTCACTTTTCACACACAAACAAACAAACAAAAAAACAACCAAGAAAACCAAATCTACTGTCATCAAGTTGGTTCAGACTCATTGTGACCCTTTGCTGGGTTTGTGACACTATACATTTTTACAGGGGGAGACTGCTCATCTTTCTCCCATGGATTTAAACTGCTGACCTGACCTTTCAGTTAGCCCCCTCACACACAGAGCTCATTTTTCAAATAAGGAAGTAGCAAAATAAGGTTTTTCTCAGCCCAAATTGTATAAGCCCTTGACTGTGTGGCAATGGCGAGGAGAGATAAAGCAAGCTGAGAGACAAGGGTTCTGTTTCTATACAAATGACAATCTGATCTAAAAGGCAAGTGTTCCAGGAACAACAGTTCAAGATGGTGAATTCATTTCAGTGTCAGACAGACGGGACAGAAGGAATCCAGCAGTGGCAGAAAGAAGCTGAAGGAGGAGAGGGTTCCACAAAGTTGCTGAGACTTGAGTCTCTGGGGAAACAAAGGTCTGGTAGATAAAAGAATGAGAAATTTGTGTTCAGGGAATTGTGGCAAGGCAGGCCTAGACGATAGGGAATTTGTTTTGAAGTTGTGAGTGAAAAGGATTTATATTCAAGATGAGCGTGCCTTTTGTAAGCTATTAGTATCAGGAGAAGGAATTTGGACTATCCGTTGGGTCATAAGAACCCAATGTAGAGCTCTTGTTATTTTCTTCTTGTTTTGGTTTTTATTTAAGCATGAAAAAAATTGCTGCTTTTGCAGGCTTATTCTGATAAGAGAAGGGAGATTATGTTAGAGAATTACAACTGGAGGGAAAAAGCTCAGATGAAGCTTATTGTGAGGAAATCAGTAAGAAAGAAGGAATAGGAAATGTCAAGTCTTTGTAAACAAAAGAAACTGGAATAAATTATTACAGTAATTTGAAACTTAAAGATTGGGAGACTGAAGCATGGACTAAATGGACAAATGTAAAGATAAAAATATAATTAAGCCCGAAGCTAGGGACTATCCTACTTTGAGGAGAAAAGAATTTCCATTCATTTTCAAAATGTGCTGTTAAATTTTGAAAACTCACATGTGAATGTTTAGGAAGTGAAGATGTGAAAGTTTGAGTTGGTACCAAGATCAAGGTTAAAGAAGCAGACACTCATGATTTATGACATATTTAAATTTCAATGAGCCATACTGATGATGTGTTGGTGTATGAGCTTATTTAATACATCTTATTGTTATTAATCAATGACAAGAAAACAGAGATTCTTACCACTGGCCTGGTAGGCAACATCATGATGGAGAGAGAAGAGATTGAAACTGTCAACTTCAAATTACTTGGATCTACAATTAAAACT